GGCGAAAGCCCAAAAACACAGGAAAAAAAACAACAAAAAACAAAAAAACAACCAAAAAAAACAATCCTGGCGAACTTTTCGCCCTCCCCACCCCCTCCGAGGAATTCCTCAGGATTGTTTTTTTTGATTTTTTTGTTTTTTTTTGGTTTTTCCTTGTGTTTTTTTGGTTTTTCGGCCCTCCACCCTTCCCCCTGGGGAGCGGGCGGCCCCAGGAACACCCAAGAGGACCATGGGAGGCACCAGAGAGCCCCCAGAGAAGTCGTAGTCGTAGTAGTAGCAGCCGTAGTCGTAGTAGTAGTAGTAAGAATAGTAGTAGGAGTAGTAGTAGTAGTAGTAGTAGTAGTAGTAGTAGTGAAAACAGTAGTAGTAGTAGTAGTAGTAGTAGTAGTAGTGGTAGTAACAATAGTAGTAGTAGTAGTAGTAGTAATAGTGGCAGTAGTAGTAGTAGTAGTAGTAATAATAATTATAGTAGTAGTAATAGTAGTAGTAGTAGTAGTAGTAGTAGTAATAGTAGCAGTAGTAGTAGTAGTAGTATTAGTAGTACGACTACTACTACTGGTAGTAGTAGTAGTAGTAGTAGTAGTAGTAGTAGTAGTAGTAGTAGTAGTAGACGTAGTAGACGTAGTAGTAGTAGTGGTACTGCTACTACTACAACAACAACGACGATGACGACTACTACTACTACTACTACTACTGCTACCACTACTAATACAACGGCTACTACGACTACTACTACTACTACTACGACACCGACGACGACGACTACGACTACGACTACTACTACTACTACTACTACTACTACTACTACTGCTACGTCTGCTACTACTACTACTACTACTACGACGACTACTACTACTACTGCTACTACTACTGTTACGGCGACGACGATTGCCACTTCTACTTCTACTTCTACCACTGCTACTACTACTGCCACCACTGCTACTACTACTACTACTAATACTACCAGTACTACTACTACGACTACGTACGACGTACTACGTACTACGTACTACGTACTACGTACTACGTACTACTACTACTACTACTACGACTACTACGGCTACGACTACTACGGCTACTACTACTACTACTACTCCTACTCCTACTACTACTACTACTACTACTACTACTACGACTTTGGGACTACTGCTCCACCGACTACTACTACTTCTACTACTACTACTACTACTACTACTACTATTACTACTACTGCTACTACTACTACTACTGCTGCTACTACTACTACTGCTACCACTACTGCTGCTACTACTACTACTGCTGCTGCTACTACTACTACCACTACTACTACCACCACTACGAGTACAACGACTACTACGAATACTACTACGACTGCTACTGCTACTACTACAGCCACTACTACTACTACTACTACTACCACCACTACTACTACTACTACTACTATTACTACTACTACTACTGCTACTACTACTACTACTATTACTACTACGGCTAATACTACCACTACTACTGCTACTACTACTACTACTACTCCTACTACTACTACTACTACTCCTACTACTACTACTACTACTACTCCTACTAGGTGGCCTGCTCTCTTATTATAAAGGGCCTGCTTTCGCTCAGCATGTGGCGACCACATACCCGCCTCGCATGAGCCCCGCGAAAACGAACGCCGCCTCCCTCGCAGCGACGTCGGGGAGGGGGCGTATCGGGGTCAAATCAAAGGGGGGGGGCGTAGTAGTAGTAGTAGTAGTAATAATAATCGGAGTAGTAGTCGTAGCAGCAGTAGTAGTAGTAGTAGTCGTAGTCGTAGAAGTAGTAGTAGTAGTAGTAGTAGTAGTGAAAATAGTAGTTGTAGTAATCGTAGTAGTAGAATAGTAGTAGAAGTAGTAGTAGCACCGGTAGTCACCGTCGTAGTAGTAGTCGTGGTAATCGTTGTAGTAGTCATAGTAGTAGCGGTAGTAGTAGTAGCAGTAGTATATTAGTAGTAGTAGTAGTAGTAGTAGTAGTAGTAGTAGTAGTAGTAGTAGTAATCGTCGTGAGTCATAGTCGCATTAGCGTGGTAGCCGTCGTAGTAGTCGTAGCAGTCCTGGCTGTCGTAGTAGGAATGAGCTGGAAGAAGTAGCCGGAGCCGCTGCATCAGTTGCAGTAGTAGTCTTTGTAGTCGTAGTAGTAGTCGTAGTCGTTGTAGTAGCCGTAGTAGTAGCAGTCGTATGTGTAGTCGTAATCGTAATCGTAGTCCTGGTCGTAGCAGCCGTCAGAGTACTAGGAGTAGACGCAGTAATTGTAGTAGTAGTAGTAGTCGTAGTCGTAGTCGTAGTCGTAGTCGTAGTACTAGTCGGAGTAGTAGTAGAAGCAATAGTTTTCGTCGTCGTAGTAGTACCAGTCGTAATCGTCGTCGTAGTTGTAGTAGTAGTAGTAGTAGTGAAAATAGTAGTCGTAGGAGCACTAGTAGAAGTAGTGGTAGTGGTAGTGGTAGTAGTAATCGTAGTTGTAGTGATAGTAGTTGCGGTAGTAGTAGTAGTAGTAGTAGTAGTAGTAGTAGTAGTAGTAGTAGTGGTAGTCGTCGTCGTCGTCGTCGTCGTCGTCGTCGTCGTAGTTGTGGTCGTTGCCTCAGTAGTAGTAGTCGTCGCCAGCCTAGTTCTGTATAGTGGCACAAACCGTGTAGTACGAGGATTAGCTCCAATAGTATTCTCAATCGTAGTAGCAGTAGTTGTCACAGTGATAGCCGTGGTACTCGTAGTGGTCGTGGCAAGAGGTAGTAGGAAGAATCGTCGTAGCTGTCCCAACCGTTGCAGTGTTAGTGGCAGCCGTCGTAGTCGTAGTAGTAATAGCAGTAGTAGTAGGGGTAGTGGTAGTAGTAGTAGTAGTAGTAGTAGTAGTAGTAGTAGTAGTAATAGTAGCAGTAGTAGTAGTAGTGGTAGTAGCCGTAGGAGTAGTAGTAGTAGTAGTGGCAGTAGCAGTAGTAGTAGTAGTAGTAGTAGTAGGAGTAGTAGTAGTAGTAGTAGTAGTAGTAGTAGCCATAACAGTAGTAGTCGAAGCAAGAGTAGCAGTAGTAGTAGTCGTCGCAACTCGTAGTAGTAGTAGTAGTAGTAGTAGTAGCAGTAGCAGTGGTAGTAGAAATAGTAGTAGTCGTAGTAGTAGTCGTAGAAATAGTTGTAGTAGTTGTAGCAGTCTTAGTAGTATTAGGAGTAGTAGAAGTCGTAGTGGTAGACGTATGGGTAGCCGTAGTAGTTGTAGTAGTAGTAGTAGTAGTAGTAGTCGTAGTAGTAGTAGTAGTGGTAGTAGTAGTGGGAGTAACAGTAGTAGTGGGAGCAGTCGTGCTAGGAGTAGTTGTCGTAGTAGTCATAGTAGTAGTTGTGGCATCCGAGGTCGTTGTAGTAGTCGTCGTCGTCGTAGTAGTAGTAGTAGCAGTACTAAAACGAATTAGTGGTTGCAGTCGTAGATGCGGTGTTAGTAGTAGTAGAAGTACTAGTAGTAGTAGTAGTAGTAGTAGTAGTAGTCGTAGAAGTAGTAGTAGTAGTAGTAGTAGTAGTAGTAGTAGTAGTAGTAGAAGTAGAAGTAGTGGTAGTAGTAGTATGAGTAGTAGTACGAATAGTAATGAAATACGTAGCAGTCGCAGTAGTAGAAGTAGTAGTAGTAGTAGTAGTAGTAGTAGTAGTAGTAGTAGTAGAAGTAGTAGCAGCATTAGTAGTAGTGGTAGTAGCGATGTTCGTAACAGTAATGGTAGTAGTCGTCATCGTAGTCCTGGTACTTTCTGTAGTGGCCGTAGTAGTGGTAGTAGAAGTGGAAGCAGAAGTAATAGTAGTAGGAGTATTAGTAGTAGTAATTATATTAGTAGTCGTGGTTGTAGCCGTAGCAGTACTAGTAGTAAGAGTAGTCCTAGTAGTAGTAGCAGCAGTAGTAAAAGTAGTAGTAGTAGTAGTAGTAGTAGTAGTAGCAGTCTTAGTAGTAGTCATAGTGTCTAGTATCTAGTAGTCGCCGTCGTAGTTGTAGCATTCGCAGTCGCAGTAGTAGTGGCAGTAGTAGTAGCAGCAGTAGCAGTCGTAGTTGTATTAGTAGTAGTGGTAGCAGTAGTAGCAGTAGGAGTAGTACGAGTAGTAGTAGTAGTAGTAGTAGTAGTAGTAACTGTAGTAACTGTAGTAGTAGTAGTAGTAGTAGTCGTCGTAGTAGTAGTAGTAGTTGTAGTAGTAGTAGTAGTAGTAGCAGTAGTAAGAGTAGTAGTAGTCGTAGTAGTAGTAGTAGTAGTAGTAGTAGTAGCCGGAGTAGTCGTAGTAGCAGCAGTAGTAGCCGTATCAGTAGGAGCAGTATTGGTCGTAGTAGGAAGCAGTAGGAAGACGAAGAAGTAGTACTAGCAGTAGTAGTTGTAGTATTAGCCATATTAGTAGTAGTACCCATAGCAGTCGGAGTAGCAGTAGAGTAGTAGTAGTCGTAGTAGGAGTAGTCGTAGCAGTAGTAGTAGTAGTAGTAGTAGTAGCAGTAGTAAAAGTAGTAGTAGTAGTAGTAGTAGTAGTAGTAGTAGTAGTAGTAGTAGTAGTAGTAGTAGTAGTAGTAGTAGTAGTAGTAATCGTAGTAGTAGTAGTAATCGTAGTAGTAGTAGTAGTAGTAGTAGTAGTAGTAGCAGCAGCAGTAGTGGTAGGCGTCGTAATCGTAGTCGCAGTCGTAGTAGTAGTTTTTTAGATTGTAGTCGTAATCGTAGTAGTCGTTCGACTACTAGTAGGAGTGACAGGCGGAGTCGCCATGATTTGTGTCACAGCTTCGGCCGCTAGAGATCTCGACCCATTCCAGGGACCAGCTTTTCAATCTCAGTCGTGTTCTGGCGGTCCCGGGTCCTGGCGGGAGTCCCCAGAGGCCAAAACATGCCGAAGCCTTCCGGCGTGATTTTCTCATGGCCCGAGGAGGTCTGGGAGGGTTGCTCCTGCCTATAGGACCAAGGGCCACTCTTGCGTGTGGCCGAGCCCCCGCAGTCCCCCCGTGCACGCGACGGCCCCGTGGTGCGGTGGGGCGCGGTGGGGGAGGTCCTCTACGCCGCATCGGCGATCGCCGCGGACACGCTGCAGGAGGGCCTGGGCGCGCGCGGGCTCCAGGCGCCACGCGGCCCACAGTCCGAGGCGGGGGCTCGTCCATAGCCGCCGCTGCCCGGGGGATTGGTCTTCGGGGACCTGCGCCGGCGGTGGATGTGGATATGTTCGGGCCCTGCGGAGGCCAACACACGTCCACATCCACCGCCTGCCGAGGTCCCCCAAGACCGGTCCCAAAGGCGGCGGTTAAGGATAAGCTCCTGCCTCGGACAGAAAGGCCCTTTTCCTCCCTACCGCCACTTCTCTCTCTCGTGTCCACTTCCCCCCTTCCCACCCCTCCTTCCTCCTCCTCTCTTGTCTACCCGTCCCCCTTGCCCACCTCCTGTCCCCACTTCTCCCCCTCCTCCTTGATCTCCCTCGTCTATCTCTTCCGGCGCCCTCTTCTCCAGTCGGGTCCTCGAGTTTTGGCCGGCTGTGGTTAAGGTTCTGGGGCCTCAGTGCCATGGGAGGTCCACTGCCATGCTGATTGCCCTGCAGGTCTGCTCAAGGGATCTAGTCGCAGCGCGGAAGCCTCCCACCGAATGGTTCCCGTTCCTGCCCTTAGCCCAGACTGGCGCCGCTCAGTTGCGCGCGTCCGACGTTCATGGGCCCCAAGGGCCGACGGCTGCATGTGAGAGTGCCTACGCATCTCAGTTTTGATCGTGGCAGTTCTAAGCATTGGGTGGGAGCCCCAGGCAAATTCCTGCTGGGCCAACCCCTCTCTGGTAAGCTTCGGGAGGCAGGTATGACCAAATTCAGCCCCAGTGGGGAATTGCATCTCTGCCTTCGACCCCTACGGTGTGCTAGCTGCGGCTCGCGGCAATTTCGTCAGGAGACCTTGTAGTCGTGTCGCCGCCCAGCACTTCGAAGGAGGTCTGGAACAGTAGATTCTTAACTTACGTTGCTAAGCGGACCAAGCATCAGCGACACTCGTGGAGAGATGCATGCGATCGGGCGGGCCCAGGACCCGGATGCATCGCTCCAGAGAATTCTGGAACGCTCTCAGGGCGTCCTGGAGCGCTCGGGAGCGGCTGCGGCGCCCGATACGGCCTCCAGGACCGCTGGATCTTGGGGATCCCCAGCGGAAGGAGCAGGACGGAGGCGGAGCGGCGAGGAGGAGGAGGAGGAGGAGGAGGAGGAGGAGGAGGAGGAGGAGGGCGAACGTGATGGAGGAGGGCGAGGAGGGAGGACGAGGATGGGAACGCGGGCGGGCCGAGGAGCGGCGGGAGGGCCGAGCAGGCGAGAGGGAGGAGCGCCGCCGAGGGGGCGGCGGGAGAGAGAGGAGGAGGGGAGAGAGGAGGAGGAGGAGGAGAGGAGGAGGAGGAGGAGGAGGAGGAGGAGGAGGAGGAGGAGGAGGAGGAGGAGGGGGAGGGAGGGGGAGGAGGAGGGAGGAGGAGGAGGAGGAGGAGGAGGAGGAGGAGGAGGAGGAGGAGGAGGAGGAGGAGGAGGAGGAGGAGGAGAGGAGGAGGAGGAGAGAGGCGGAGGAGGAGGAGAGGAGGAAAAGGAGGAGGAGGAGGAGGAGGAGGAGGAAGAGGAGGAGGAGGAGGAGGAGGACGAGGGGGCAGCGCCGCCGAGGGGAGGAGGGACGGGGCGGGTGGCCAAAAGGGCGGCAGGCGGCGCGCCTTCGCAGGTCGAGCGCCTGGACACCTACACCACCCGCCCCGTGGCCAGCCCGTCCGCCGAGCTGCTCGCGCAGATGGCCTCGACGGACGTCGTGACCTTCGGCTCCCCGAGCGCGGTGCGGGCCGTGGGCTCCTTCGGAGCCCCTCGCGCCGTGGAGCGTGGGAAGCAGCGCGGCGGGAGGCCGAGTTTGTTCCCAAGCAGTGCTGGCACTGAATGGGTCCTATACAAAAAACCAAAAAAAAAAAACAAAAAAGTGCTGGCACGGAAGTGGAAGGATCTGGCGAAGGTTCCCCGCCGATGTTGGTGGCAGGCTGGGTTCCCGGGTTCCCGGGTTCCCGGTTCCCGGTTCCGCGGGCCGAGTTCGGAGGGCGGCGAGGTTCCCGGGTTCCCGGGTATCTGGCCGATCTGCTTATCGATCGGTCTCACCATCGATCTCATTACCGACTTCTCGATCGATCTCACCATCGATCTCACAATCGGTCAATCGACCTCACTACCAATCTCACAAGCGATCTCACTAGAGATCGCATGAGCGATCTCGCGATCGATCTCACTATCGATCTCATTGAATCGATTCCACTCTCGGCCTCACGATCGACCTCACAATCGTCCTCGCGATCGATTACACTATCGATTTCGTTATCGATCTCACAATCGATCTCAAGAGCCATAGTATCAATTCTCAAACCATTCACTGATCGGGGTTTTCTCGGGTGTAGTTGTTTTTGGGGCAGCTTTCGGCCTCCGCGACACGGTTCGGGATGCACCAGTCCCAGCGACGGGCCCCAGACCCTTGAGGATGCACGTCGGGGGTTTGGGATCCTCTCCCCCAGGAGGGCGGAGGAGGATCGAGGCTCTTGGGCGTCGCTCGGCCTTTCTGCGTGCCTCTGGAGGCGCCCACGGATTTCCGTGGGGGCTGCAGGGATAATTCCGAGGATCTTGTGGGACTTTCCTCCTCCTCTCTCTCGGGAATTCCCTCGGCTCTCGTTGCTACTGTTCGTACACCCGCCCGCTTTCTCCTCTTATCTCGTCCTCCTCCCCGTCGTCTTCTCTCCCCTACGCATCTGTCTTTGTCCTGCTCCTGCTTCTCCTGCGCCTGGGCCTCCTGGTGGTTTTCAGCGCCTGAGGTTGCGGTCATCATTCTCTTTGCTGGTGTCGAGAGAGTCCGCCTCCTTCTCCGCCCGTCCTCCTCTCCTCCTCTTCCTCGTTCCTTGTCCTTCTCGTTGGCTCCTTGCCTCCCCCACTGCTCCTCCTCTTCCTCGTTCATAGTTTCCTCTTCCCCCTGCCTCGTCCTCCTCCTCCTCCTCATCACCATCAGCATCATCATTATTATCATCCGCTTTCTATCCGTAGCCATTTTGGCTCAAGAGCCTGCCGCGGCCCGCGCGTCCGTGCCTCATGGTGTCTGCTGGCCGTGCCCCTCGGCACACGGTGTCTGTGATCCCGTGGGCGTGATGTACGTGCTCCTCGGTGCTACGTAATTGATTTCGATTTATGTTACCCCCTGGCGCCAGGGGGTGCTAAGGCTGCTGATCGGAGAGCGGTGTTTTTTTCTCTTTTGGAGCTTTGCGGTGCCTGGGGAAAAACCGCTAAGATTGGTACGTCTAATTCGGTACACGTCGCCCAGACTGCACTCAGTTTTGTCGCTCTTGGACATGAATTGGATCACGGTTAGGTCGCGCCTTCGATTGATTTCCCCATGCAACGTCGTATGCACGACATTTTTCGGTCTTCGAGTTTGCAGCGCTATCTGGAGCTTGTGCACGGTATCCCTCACTGTCGATCGCTGCATTGTGTGCTGGATATGGCGCAGGAGCGTGGTGTTTTCTCTCACGCGGCTTGGGCTCGGATGAACATGCTGCGAATGCGAGGTAACAGTGCGCGGCATTTGCGCTGGAAGGTGCCCTCTAGAACAGCAGTCGTGTCTCGGATGATTGATCACCTTGATCCTGTCGAGGTTTGTGGTGGAAAGCTGAATCGTAATGCTGCTGAGTTTGTGCCTGCTGCTCCTCTTCCTCTTCGTATCCCTCCCCACGCAGGTGAGGTGGCGGACCTACTCCTTCGAGATTTGTGCGGTGGACCGTCGGAGGCTGAGTTGATGAGTGACGATGGGTCCGAGGAAGATGAGGCTTCGGACCGCCCACGTGATGACCCACAGGAGGAGATGACCGATTCGATGCACTTTGATTTGGAGACGAACCCTCCGAGGCCGGCAGCGACCCCGCGAACGATGCAACCGACATGGTGCATTACGAACGCGGCGACGAGCCCTGTGAGACGAACGATGTTTGGGACGTGCCTCAAGACATATTGTCGCCATCCGCTGCTGACTACGATGCGGTGTCTTCTGGCAGCTCTGATCTGGAAGATGGAGGCCCCGAGGTCCCGAGGCAAGATGGAGAGGCCGATGAGGGACTTCAAAAACCCATTCGCGATGTTGTTCTGGGTACTGCGATGTGTTCTGGGATGGAGGACAACGACCCTGCGTTCGCAGGACGGATGGCACGTACAGATGATATACTTCGTGCTTCCTTGTCTTACACTGTTGACGTTGGCACGGACGGTCCCGATGAGACACTTCTGTTTTCTGATTTCGTCACTGACACGGCTGAGTCTCTTATCAACGATGCAGTGTCTACTGGGAGGGGGAGCAGGGAAGATGGAGGCCCCGGGGTCCGGAGGCACTCCGCAGAGGCCGATGAGGGACTTCGAGAACCCCTTCGTGTCGATGCACGAGATGATCATGAGGCTCTCTCTGACGATGTGGTGGTTCCTCTGTGTCAGTACGGGGACGATGGAGGCCCCGAGGTCCTGAGGCACGGAGCCGCTGATGATGGACTTCGAAAACCCATTCGTGATGCTGCTCTTGGCCGTCCACAGTACAGTGCAGGTGCTATATCCGACTCGGCATTCGTTGGGGAGTACATGTCGGATATTACCTCTTTGGTTGTCCTTGCCACTGTCCTGGTCGAGTCCGTGTCTGCCGATACGGTGGTCTCTGTGGGTTTGACTTGCGAAGAGGGGGGCCCCGAAGTCCACGTGGCACCTATCCGTGCGACTCTCTCTGACGATGCTGTGGCTCCTCTGTGTCAGTACAGGGAAGATGGAGGCCCCGAGTTCCTGAGGCGCGGAGCCGCCGATGATGGATTTCGAAAACCCATGTGCGCGAGCAGATCTGATCCAGACCCTCTTCATGTGGACAGTGACTCTGAGATTGTGATCGCGTATGACGACGACATTGCTCATTTCGTGCGTTCTTGGGCTGCCTCGCGGGACCCGAACGGCCTCTCGGTCCGACTCGTCCCGCAGGCAGCTGCTCGCTGGTTCGGCCCACTCCGGCCGTGCCTGCAAAGATCGGATTCGCACTTTGGCTGTCGATGCCGTGGAAGGGATGCTCCCAGTGGATCCGTCGAGCCCAGCGGCGGAGCCTGGCCCTGCGAGGGGGCGGCGCGGAGCGGCGGGAGCCCGCGCCAAAGGCTGGAGGGTGATATGCATGCAGATCCATATAGATATCATCATCATCAGCATCATCAGCATCATCATCATCACCATCATCATCATCAAAGGCCGCCGCGCGCTCAGGCCATTGATGGAGCAGCGGCCTCCAGTCACCGCCCCCTTGCCCTGCCCGAAAGGCAGGGGGCCTCTTGACGATGCCCCGCGCACCGCCATGCCGCCACGGACGCGCTCCGGAGCGCGGGCGCCGCGCACCTGCTAAGCACAGGACTCGCTCGCTGACAACAGGAACATGGACGAGCGCATGGCCCAAGCACCTGACCACCAGCCAGACGACGATGCCGATGCTGAAGTATTACGACACGCTGACCCTGAACTACTGGACGCTGAGCTTCAACAACAACATCCTCACGAATACAGAGGGCCAGCACAGGCAGGATCACACCATGCGACCCATGAATTGCCACCGGTGGAACAATTGCACGCTGAACGTGACTTGCCACTTGGACTACTACCCCCACACCCACACTGCGAAGGACGACTGGACGCTGAGCATCAATCCCAACATCATCACGCACGTACAGGGCCAGCACATGCAGGATTACGACACGCGGACCCTGGACGACTGGACGCTGAACGTCAATTTCAACATCTTCACGAACACGGAGGGCCAGTACGTGCGGGACTGGACGCTGAGCTACATCTCCATGAACACAGAGGGCCAGCACATGAAGGATTACGACACGCTGACCCCGAACTACTGGACGCTGGACCACTACCTACACACCCAGCTCGCGAAGGACTACTGGACGCTGAGCGACAATTCCAACTTTTTCAAGGACGTAGAGGGCCAGCACATGCAGGAGTACGACACGCTGACCCTGGACGACTGGACGATGGACTTCAATTTCAACGTCTTCACGAACACAGAGGGCCAGTACGCGCAGGACTACACCACGCTGCACCTGAACCGCCACCAGTGGAACAACTGCACGCTGGACTTGAACTGCCACCTGGACTTAAAGGCCGACATGAACGTGACCCTGGTGACGAGCGCCCTGATCATCAATTTCCAGTCCGACGACCCACCTACTCCTCTTCAAGGCCCGTCGAACTCACCATCATGCTCCTCGCCCTACAGCACCTGATGCGCACTGGTGTTCAAAGGGCAGGAATGGGGCATGACAATGCAGATTATCAGTACGCGGACCCGCTCGCTGAGCGAGTTCATCACCCCAGTCGACGGAAGCTCGAGATCGATCACGACGTCAGCTCCACCATTATCCAGACTTTCGACATCGGTAAAAAAGAAAAAAGCCCCACTGGCAATGTGATTCAGGACATTCATGCATGCGTACGTTTATCTCGCTGTTTCGACCATGTATGGCGATTGTATCTGAGGATAGGACTCATACAACATGGAACTTAATACGCACAGAACATAGGTAAGCAGGACACCCTGGCCTCACTGGGTATTCACGGGGCTACGAAGAAGGCCGAACGGAACATCAAGATCATGCAGTTAGACATTTACGACGAGCATGGCAAGCAGGTGGATGCCATCACGCAGGAGCACGAAAGCTACGAGCACGTTATGGACTCCCTCAGGAAGAGCGGCCCCCCAGAGGACAAGAAATGCCTGCAGGAGATAGGGTCGCCAGCTCCGTCCCGCGCGCTGACGGCCCCAGAAGGACTGTGCAAGTGCGACGCGGGCGGCTCCATGAAGGGTGCCATCGAGGACATCGAGGCGGAGACGGAGATCAGAAAGGAAGCTATCCTCGACGCCATCAACTTCGCGCGCCTGGAAAAGTGCTACGACCACGACAAGACGAAGCTGGTGATCGGCGCGCTAGGCGCGCCCATGTGGGAGGGCCAAATCCTGATCCTGTGGGAGGCCGAGGGCCAGGCGGTCCACCACCGAGACGTGGGCCCAGTGGGCTGGCTCGAGGAGGAGGCTAGAGGCGCTCGAGCAGTGAACCCGTCTTTTTCTGCCAGAGCGAGCCTGCAGGCCACAATGCAGGCCACAGCGGAGAGGAGGCGTTTCAACGCCGCGTCAATTTCGTTCGAGGCAAAGACCTCCCTGCCAGCAGCGGCACGGTCACGGCCGGCCTCATGCCCTCCCTCCTCCGCCGTGCCTCCACTCCCCCCCTGCCGCGCCAGCACATCCAGAGGAGCAGTGCGAGGGGGAGGCCCCGCCTGAGCATGATACAACCGCCGAAGAAGAAGCGGCCGAATATCTCAGCTAGCATTTCGACGCTGCTTGGCACGCGCTGCGCAGGAGGCCCCTCCGAGCAGCACCCTGGCAGTCTGGCCCAGGCGGGGCAACGCGAGACAGTCGGCTGTCTGCGACGGGTCACTTTAAATCTGGCTGGTTTCATTGTACACCATATCCGGATATCAGATGTTGGTCCTGACGTCGAGGAAAAATCATCATCATCACCATCATCATCCGCTTTCTCATTCCTGCCCTCC